ACTCCAGCACAGTCTTGGGATGCACAGGAGCACACAGGTTCCAACAAGGGGGTCAGGGAGTCAGGGCCCCTACTATCTCCAGGCTCTAAGATAGCTGGATTTTGGTGGGGGGTGGAAGTGGGGGAAGACAGATCCAGCAACTGGGATGGAATTCACTGCCACCCACCTGTGTGACATTGGCTTAAATTAAATTAAACAGATCTAAGGCAGACACCGAGATGCTCTTTCGGGTAGTGCCGAGTTCATAGACAGGGCTCCTAACCCTTCTGCTTGTTAACCGGGATAATAATATCCCCAGTGGAAAATGGAAGTGTGCTTTGTAAACGGTCAAGTGTCAAGCAAACGAGAGGCGTGCTCTGGACTCCTCCATCCCGGGTCCCATGGGAAGAGGGTGCACAGAGCTGGGCCGATTCACAATGTTTCCCTCCAGATGGCAACAGACAGCCCGTCAGGCACTGTAGGAACAGCACAGGGCAGAACAGCCCGTCCGGGACACCCACCTCCCCACCCCCGGCTCACACTGGCCAAAGATCCAGACTGACAAATGACTCGGACACGCAAACACCCGGGGCTAAGAGGAAACACGGCACGGCCTGGAGGTTGCGGGGTGCAGAACTCACAAGGATGGGGTTTCCTCCTATGCCTACCTCTCCACCCAGTCATGATCAGTGGCCTGAAATGGTGTCATGGACCCCCCTCCCATGTTTAAGCACTTGCTGTATACCAAATTCTTACAGATACGTTTGTACTCTTAAATGGTTATGAAGATCGCCGTCTTCATAGGACGAAACCAGGGATTCTAGGGGTTAATTACTGTCGATGCCACTATCCGTCGTTATTATTAGATAATCTGGCCAAACTCATACACTAATCAATATCAGTCCCCATCACAACCACAACAACGACTGCCGACCCTTCCGAACCCAACCCCAGCCTGGGGGGTTGCAGAAGCACCAAATTCCAGAATTTCAGCCTCCGTCCCACAACGTCCAACGCACCCCCTCGAAGCACAGCCTGTCCTTCTTTTGGGCTGACTCTGTGTGATGAACGCATACCCAGCAAATGTCCCAGACCCACGGGCATTCAATCTATTTTCGGCTGCAGCCCCTTTACCTGTGACACCTGTGCCCGCGCCAGACCCCTTTCTTTCCTGGCCGGCCATCTGAGGGGTCCCTGGTGGCCTCTGGAAAGAGAGGAGCTTCAGAAGTCGCTTTCATTTTCCAGCTGAGATGCTGGCTTTGGGCCGATGCCGCCGGGCACCCCACAATAGGTAGCCGCCCTCTCTGGCTCAGTCACCAGCACGAAGGCAGGGCCTCTCCTTTGGGGCTGCTTGTCACGGGTGCCCCTTGCCAGCCTCCAAGGACATCCCTCCTTCTCTGTCCCTCTGCCCTGTCCTCAAGCCCCATCTCATTTTGAACCTCTGCATAGCAGGATCCAGATTCCCCTCCAAGTGCGTCAGAACTAAGGCTAGCTCTGGCTGGGCATGGTGGCTCACGCCTGTAATCCCAGCATTTTGGGAAGTCGAGGCGGGTGGATCACCTGAGGTCGGGAGTTCAAGATCAGCCTGGCTAAAATGGAGAAACCCGGTCTCTACTAAAAATACAAAAATTAGTCAGGCATGGTGGCACATGCCTGTCATCCCAGCTACTCGGGAGGCTGAGGCAGGAGAATTGCTTGAACCTGGGAAGCCGGAGGTTGCAGTGAGCCAAGATCGCGCCACTGCACTGCAGCCTAGGCAACAGAGAAGGACTCCCTCTCAAAAAAACAAAACAAACAACCAAAAAAGAACTAAGGTGGGCTCATCTCACCAGTCCTCTTACGGTCTAAACCAGCACTGTCCCTGTGGCAGCTGCTGGCCACGTGTGGCTAACGGAGCACTTGAAATGTGACAAGTCCAAACTGAGACGCACCCTCGATGCAAAATACACACCAGTTTTAAGACCTGGTGCAAAAAATAATGCAAAATATCTCAATATTTTTTATTTTGATTACATGTTGAAAAGGATTATACTTGAGATATGTTGTGTTAAATATATTACTAAGAACAGTTTTACTTATGTTTTCTTTTATTTCACATGGCTACTAGTAAATTTAAGATCATAGGAGGGGATGGACGTGGTGGCTTACACCTGTAATCCCAGCATGTTGGGAGGCTGAGGCAGGCGGACCACCTGAGGTCAGGAGTTTGAGACCAGCCTGGCCAACATGGTGAAATCCCATCTCTACTAAAAATACAAAAATTAGCTGGGCGTGGTGGTGGGTGCCTTTAATCCCAGCTACTTGAGACGCTGAGGCAGGAGAATCCCTTGAGCCCGGAAGGCGGAGATTGCAGTAAACTGAGATCGCGCCACTGCACTCCAGTCTGGGCGACAGAGCAAGACTCTGTCTCAAAAAAAAAGAAAAAAAGAAAAAAGAAATCTGAACTTTGTCTGGATAGCGACTGAGGGTGTCTGAGCAAAGCAATGACGTTCACAGAGCCATCCACAGACTAGGAACTCTGTCCTTCCAAAATGGGTGCACCCAGAGGAGCTGGAAGACAGAGATGGCCTGTGGGTGACTCATCTGGTTGCCCCTTGGTAGCACTGAGCCAGGCATCAAGTGGGCAAGGCTTGTCAATGATAACCGCAAGATCAGCGGTTACCAGGCAGCCAGGTGCACCCGGTAGCCCTCTGTGGGCAATTCTGCATGTATGACCTTATTTAGTCATACGGGTAGGCAAGGAGGTGATACTAAGCAAGTTGAGCACTGATGGGTCTTGAATGGACAAGTGAATGAATGAATGAATGAATGAATGAATGGTGGCTGATGACTGTCATCTCCAGTCCTTACATTATGTATTGCATGCATCAGACTGCACGGCGTTGCATGTATGTTCGTGGAGCTCCTCCAGTGAGCAGAGGCTGCTAAGCAGGAGCAGTACACAGGCTGGGGGCAGGACACAGGGCCCCAGGCCTCGGGGGAGAGGTCTGTTCCAGCCACCTCAAGTCTATTCCTGCGAGTGCCCCTCCACACCCCTCCTGGATCCCCCCACTGCAAGCTCTCTCCCCCTGGCTCCGGACTCTCTCCCTGTCCTGGAATTAATAAAGACTCTGTGCAGACTGCGGTTTGCAAGTCTGAAAGCTGGTTCCTGCCCACGTCACTGCCTTGAGAGGAGAGGGGTCCAGCTCCCCACAGTACCCCCTGCCTTCCTCCTTCCCAGGAAGCGGAAGGCACGCAGATACAGCACTGACTTCCCCTCCCCTACAGTAGGCACATCCCAGGCATCGGGCTTCAGACCCTGCCCCTGAGCAGCCCCTACCCCTACCCACAAAGAGTGGCTTGGGGGGAACTTTAACCCCAGCATAAGCTCCATCAGCTTACCCTCAAAGTACCCCCAAATAAACACATACCATAAGAGCTGTACACTGGCTGTGTGTGCACATCTTCAAGATAACTCACAATTCTCCGGGCATGCCCCTACCTTCCAAAATTCCAGAGCTGCTCCCTCCAAAGACCCAGGGAAAGGGAAGGGTTTGTCCAGGGTCCCGGGGTGGCCCCGTATAGACCGAAGCCTGATAGCTGTCCTAGAAGCAGAACGCTTGCCGAGCGAGTGATGGCAATCGTGGTATTGACACCAGTCCTGGTACCAGCTGAACACAGAGCATTTTTGATCTAGCAGAAAAGTAGGACCGTGTTGTATTTGTCTTTGCGATAATCTCTTAGCTAGGAATACTGATCACCTGTAGACAGATGAGGTAACTGACGCTCTGTGGAGAGGTTATCCCACCAGAAAGGCTAGAGCCAGAAATTTACTTTTAGGTCCACCAATGCCTGCCTTTGACCAATGCCTGCATTTGACCTTTCCATGCCGGGCCACCCCTGCTGGCACCCCAGACTGCCACAGTGCTCCTGCCTGCACAAGGGGCCTTTAACTCATCCCTTGGAGCTATCGTGGTGCAGAGAAAAGCCCACAGGGCATGTGGCTTCCATGCTGTCCCCTGACCAGCTGTGACCTAGGACAAGGGACAAGTTTCCCTCTCCTATTTTCTAGGTCTCACATTTCTTCTCCACTAGCAGTAGTGGGAAGTGAGGGCTGGGGGACATGACCCTCCCCTGTTCCATCCCACACTCCAAACCCAAAAATTCCCCAGGGTCCCCATCCAGCTCCGTCCTGGGGGCAGAAATGCAGAGTTCTCCAGGAATGTGGTCCCAGCTGTTTCAGTGCAGGCTGCCCCCTCCTGGCCAGCAGAGGAACGTCAGCCTTCCCAGAGGGGACCGGGAGAACAGCAGTCCAGAAGCTCCCAGGCTCGTCTGGGCGCTAGCTGCGCGCAGTGTGGGGATGGGAGGTGGCCCAGTGATAATGGGAAGCTGGGCTGCCTCTCAGTCTGCCGGGGCTCCCACCTCCCTGTTCCCCCACAGAGCACCTGGGGATCCAGGCTGATTTTTGCCAGACCCTGAGACCTGCTTGGGGCTGGGTATAGGGCTGTGAGCTTGACTCATGCAGAATAGAACCCTGTGTGTCGGGATCCTCCATGTGCCCCAGATGCCCCTGGAGACAGCACCAACATGGCATTAATTCCCAGGCCATTCCCCTGCCTCTAGCCCCCTGGCCTCTGCAGGCATCCACCCCAGACCCGCCCAACACCTCCTCCCCAGCTTCAGGTGGGAGGCTGAGATCTTGGCCCCTGCAGAATGCAGCCCTGTCCAGGGTCCCCTACCTCCCCCCAGATCCCTCCCAGAGCCATACCAACTCGATCCTACCTTCCAGACCATTCAACCTGCAGCCCCCCGACCTCTACAGACATAGCACCCCCTGAGTCTCCAGAGCTGCCCAATAGCTCGCCTCCCCAGCTGTGGGCAGAACCTGTCTCTAGCCAGGCCTGGGGGTGTTGGGGAGTCTGGAGGGCCGGGGTGGGGGCTGAGGCGCGGGACAGCTGGCCCGTGTCCCCACACTGGGCCCGGGGCCCAGCCGGAGGGGCGGGGGCCTGGCCACTCGGGCCTTGGCTGGGGCTGGGATTTTTGGCCTGGCCGCCAGGCCCTCCCTCCTGCTTCCTCTCCCGAGGGCTGTCCTGGCAGAGGCCCCCCTCGCTCTTTCTGGCGGGAACAGGGCCAGCAGCGAAAGAACAGTCGCAGAGGGAAAGCGGGAAAGAGATGGGGGAAAGTGTGTGTGTGTGAGTGTGCGCTTGTGTGCATGTGTGTGCGTGTGTGTGTCAAGGAAAAAAGCTCGCAGTCCAGCAGCCCGGGCCTGGGAGGCTTGTGAGCCGGGCCTTTCGTAATTGTCCCCTCCCCGCGGCCCCCTCCCCCAGGCCTCCCCCCTCTCCCGCCCTCCCGCCCGCCCTCTCTCCCTCCCTCCTTCCCTCGCAGCCGACGAGGCAGCAATTAGGCTTGGGGGATAAAACGAGGTGCGGAGAGCGGGCTGGGGCATTTCTCCCCGAGATGGCGGGTCTGACGGCGGCGGCCCCGCGGCCCGGAGTCCTCCTGCTCCTGCTGTCCATCCTCCACCCCTCTCGGCCTGGAGGTAAGGGCCCCTCGCCCCTGTCCCCAGCGGGCCCTTTGGGCCAGGTGACTGGACACGCAAGGGGGAGACCTTCATCCCTGGGAACTCCAAGGGGTCCCAGGTGGGAGCCCCTCAGCCACTGGGTCCTTGGAACTGCCCCTCCCAGGAGCCAGCCGTGTGCCCAGGAGGAACCTGTCAAACAGACACCCTCAGAATAGTCCCAACCCGGCATCCAGCTTTGCTGCCCTGCGAGGCTGAGGGGGCCCCTACTCAGGTGCGCGGGTGCCCGCCCCGTAGGGGGATCAGAGCATCCTGGGGGAGGGCCTAGCAGGAACCCCTGGGTCTGGAGACATCACAGTCTGCACACCTGTGAACACAGCTGGGGTGCACACCAGCCCTGGGGACAGGGAACCTGGGCTGATGCCAGCTCAACCACAGTGAGCTGTGTGACCTCAGCAAGTTCCTTGATCCCTGGGAAGTCGGGATCCCCCTGTGAGGAAGGCCAGGGCTCCGCTGAGGATGGGTTTGCAGGTTGGGAAGCTGCTGCTGTGTTCTCCCTGCTGAGGCGGGCGTGGACTCCTGGTATGCATTTGTGTGTGTGTGTGTGTGTGCGCGCGCGCGCAGGAACGAGCGTGCTGTGTGCTCGTATATGTATATGTGCATGCACAGGTGTGCACGTGTGCAGATGCCCGGCTGTGTCACTGAACAGGGGAAGGGATTTCTGGAAAGGTACACGTGTCTGCTCACAGGTTCATCCTCAGACAGGTGTATACATGTATTTGGAGGAGGTCTATGGAGCTGCTCCTAGTGTGTGCAAAATCTGCCACCTGACAGACATGTACACATGTAGACACGGGCGATCTGGCATCCAGGTGTGCTACTGGTGTGGACTGTCACTGTGTGTGTTATGGAGTGTGTGCATCCGTGTGCGATGTGGCATGCAAGCGTGGAAAGGCGGGCTGGAGAAGGTGTCTGTCTCCTGGCAGAGGCAGGGTGGCTGTGACAGAGGCTGGAGTGGATCTTGCGGCACTGCTGGGCCATCTGCTATGTGCCCCAACCCAGGCACAGTTGGTTATGGGGTTTGAGGGTGCCCCCTGTGGGGCTGCTATGCCGCGGCCAACGGGGGAGCACTGAAGATGCTCCCCTGGCATGGGAAAAAGGAGGGCATTTGGTAGGGGTGCCTGGGTGGGGTCTGGTTTCCTTGGGAGTCCTCCTTGCCATGAGAACCAGGCATCGAGTCGGGAGCAGGAGGGCCACAGGGCGGAGTCAGGGGCCGGGGCAGGAGCTGCAGCTGTTTCCGTGAGATTGAACAGCTTCCCGTGCAGTGTCCGCTGCTGGACCTGGACGGGGCCAAGGGACGTGGGTACCCACAGGCGGGGCCCGGCAGGGGCAACGAGCCAGGGCCTGAAAGTGGCAACCCCGGGTCCATCTCAGCCTCCTCCCCAGGTGTAGCCCCCAAACACCCAGCCACCCTCCTTCCCAGATGGGGCCACCCCCTATAGGGCGGCAGTTCATCATCAAGGAACCTTGAGAATTAGAAATTATTATCATCACTTGACAAACAAGGAAACTGAGGCTCCGGCAGGCTAAGGTAGTCCCTGGGGGTCAGTATCAGCCAACTCTCTGCCCCAGCTCAAAGGGCGAGAGGGTTAGGAGTGAGCTAGCAGGCAACATTTGGGGAGGGGAAGGCTTGGGGCTGAGTCCTTTAAAGCGGCCGTGACCTAGACAGAATCAGCTCTCTCCTTGTGTCCTCAGTGACACTGCTAAACGCCCAGCTGGCCTCGCACTTTACAGAGATCAATCTCAGCTCTGTCCCAGGTGGCTGGACTTGCTAGGTCCAAATAAGGGGTGTGTGAACTGATGAGCTCTTGTGGGGTTTTGCACAGAAGTGCTACTGAAGTCTGCAGAGGTCGGTGAGCCAACACGAGGAGTGAGGCGCTCGGTCACACGCTCACTGCCACTCACCTGGCTGTCCTGGGGGAGCCTGGCTTCTCCCTCAAGGAGGAGAGTGTCACTTCTGCAAGTTCAGCGGCTCCAAGGAAGGAACCCTGTTGCGGGAGTGGGGGAGCAGGAGGAGGGGACAAGCTGCCCAGCCCCCAGGCTGTTTCAAAAGTGAGCATGAGAAATTAACCCAGGGATAATTCTTTTCCATCTCCCAGAAATAGTATCAGGGATTTGGTGTTTTTTTGTTTGTTTTTCCTGATTTCAGGAAAAACTGAAGATGGTTTGGAACAGAGGTTTCCTTTTCTTTTATTTTCCTTTTTTATTTTTATTTTTTTAAACTGAGACAGGGTCTCGCTGTGTTGTCCAAGCTGGTCTGAATTCCTGGGCTCAAGTGATCCTCCCACCTCGGCCTCCCAAAGTGCTTGGATTACAGGCATGAACCACTGCCTCTTTTTAAATATTTTGTTTTAATTATTTTTTTTCCCGTCCTTAAGCAGGAACAGGGGTTTTCAACCTAGCTATCTGTTAGACTTCCCACCCAAAAATCCCTGCTTGTTTTGGTTGGGGAGGGACCTGGACACAGACTTTTCAAGCTCCCCAGGTGATGATGGGTCGCCAGAGCCAAGAAGCACTGGTTTAGAGGTTGATTCCGCTCTGTGCGTCTGCTGAGGCCCTGGCATGAGGGCACATGTGCCCTGTGTGGGAGGGGACACAGTCACCCAGTGGAGGACAGCTTGTTTTTGAAAACCCTTGGCAGCCTTCTGCATGCAAACAACAAACAGCTTGGTGTGGTCTTATCTGCTCCCCAAGTCAGTCCCCTGGACTTTGGTTTGGCAAAGCCCCCTGCCAAGGCCGGCTGGCCCCAGGCTCGCTCCCAAACAGGCTGCTTCCAACTCTTTGAACCTGGAGCCCAGGGCCCGGGCAAATGGCCCTACGTGTGACTTGGGGTCAGCTAGGGGTCCCAGACTAGGCACTTCAGCTTGCTGGTTCTCCGTTTCCCTGGCTGCAAAATGGAGAGAAACAGCCCTGCCTGAAGTATCTCCTAGAGCCAATGAGAGGTTCCAGCAATGTAATATCTGGGGGAAAAAAAATGCATCAAATAAAAGGACCGTGGGAATGGACATTTTTTAAATAATCTATTATCTTATTCAGAGTCTGCTAATTTGGGCTCGTGGATCCTTGTAATTAGTGCACATTGCTAAGGTTTAATACTCCCTCTCGCTACTTACACCATGTTTTGTCTAGTGGAGAGGCAGCTAATGTGTAAATAGATGTGCCATGATGAAAGAAGCAGACAGGACTGGGTTGGGGGTGGCCAGAAGGAGCCTTGGGAAATCCAGGAAGGCTTCCCGGCAGAAGTGACATTTGAGTTAGACCTAAGGAGAAAGGTAAATGGGGCCAGGTGCAGTGAGTCATGCCTGTAATCCCAGCACTTTGGAAGGCCCACGTGGGCAGATTGCTTGAGCCCAGGAGTTTGAGACCAGCTGGGCAACATAGGGAGGCCTCCATCTCTATTTAAAAAATAAATAAATGAACATTTAAAAATAAATAAATAAGAAAGAAAGGTAAATGTTGGAGGAGCTGTCCGTGGATGAGGGGTAAGTCCCAGACTACAGGCTCTGGCAGGCAGAACCGAAGAGACAGAAGAGCAGACTCTCAGTCGGAGGAAGTCCTGTCTGCAGTCAGTGCTGACAGTATCTGGAGGTGGTGATTTTCCTGTCATGGAAGGTAGGCAAGCAGAACACGAAGGATGTTTGCGGAAGGAGGTCCAGCCCAGGCCAGAAGACTGTTATGATCCCTGAGAGTCTAGGATCGTGATTCTAAGATGCAAGAGACAAGTTCCACCCTGGGCTAGTCAGTGAAACATGCCAAAACCACATAAAACAAGACAAGTGTTCTCGAGGCCAACTGCTTAGGGCCAGCTGAGCAACACAGTCAGGGAGAGCCGTGGGCTCGGGAAAGGCAGGCGGGAGAGTCTGAGCTCAGCCCTGGTGCAGGGGTAGGGCTTGGACGGAGGCAAGGACATTCCTGGCAGGAGAAACGGCTTGTGCCAAGGAGTGGAGGGAGAAGTGAGGATGCCCTGTGGGGCCTGGGGAAGCGGCTGTTACCTTTTCAAAGCCCTTTCCAATTTCCAGTGCTGTCTAATTTTATTCTCACCCCTCTCACTTGCAGAGAGGCAGGGATCCTTCGCAGCCCCTAAACCTTCTCCATTCCCTCATTGCAAAATGGGGATTAAAACCTCGGGCTCCCCAGGCTATCACGGTTCAGGCGTGAAGTTTGGCAAACACCACCGTCATCAGGATCTGAATGGTGGGGGTGGACAGTGGGGACAGAGGAGATCTGGGGGAGGGGAAGCTAAGTCTTTCCCCCCAGAAAGTGCCTGGGGTGCAGGAGGGCAGAACCCCAGGAGAAAGGAAGTCAGGGTTCAGCCAGGCCTGGGGGCTCAACAAGCCCAAGGCAGGGGGACTCCCAGGGCAGACGGGGATGAAACAGGTTAGAGCCGGATTCACAGACAACCTCCCTGCCTCCCCTCTCCTTAATTCACCCATCATGTATTGAGTAACTACTGTATACCTGGCCCTGGACAATGGACTGTGCAGTGAAATGGGAAGAAAATGAAACGTAAGGGCCACTGTCTTTTTATTTTTGAGCAATTACTGTGTGCCAGCTCCAGAAGAGGATATAGCCTGTTACTTGAACCCTTTTACAATTTGCAGCAACCTTGCAACCTTGCAGCAACCAAGTGATTATCTTCCCCGTGTCGCAGAAAAGGAAACCGATGTTCAGAGAGGTTGAGTGACTTGCCCAAGGTTACACAGATGGTAAGAAGCAGCGAAGGCAGAATTAGAAGCCAGAGGGGTCTGTTCTGAGTGCTTTGCTCTTCCCCCCACCTCCACCACACTGTTCCCTGCAGTCTGCTCTGGAGCCAGAGAGTAGAGAGGAAGGGAGAGAGGGACATGAAGAAGGAGGGAGAGGGGGAGAGAGAGGAGGAAGGAGAGAGGCCGAAGCAGAGAAAGACACATAAGAGACTGTTAAGAGCTGGAGGCCGGAGCCAGGGAAGGCATCAGAGGCCCGAGGCGGGCCATGTGTGTGCTGGCAACGGATGACAGGACCCAAGTGCTCCTTCCCAGCAGGCCCAGCCCCCCTGGGGCCACCACTCCAAGCCTTGAGGTTCTGACCAGATTACTCGCACACTTTAGGCCTGGATTGCAGTGCCTGAGGAGCCACAAGCCCTGAGAGGGGGTGGCGCCGGGGTCTTGGCACAGGCGGCTGTGACAGCTCCACAGCCCTGACCCTGCTGGGCTGCAGCTGAGGCTGACAGGGCCCTGGGGCCAGCAAGCCCAGCTGTGCAGCGTCGCCAGGCCTTGGAGGCCAGACGTCTGGCTGCAAGGCCTCCCTGAACACATTGCAGAGACACCATCCCCCAGCCACGCCCCTGCCCCACGGGGCTCTCAGCTCCTTTCAGAAAAAGCAGTGAGGGAGGGCTGGGCTGGGGCTTTGGCAGGTGGCTTGTCAAGCTCAGAGGGGGGCCTTCTGAGGTGGAGCCAGGGCCCGGGTTTGGGACCCCGTCTGTTGCCATGGTGATGGCTCAGGCAGGGTCTGGATCCAGCATCACAGCGTTCCCCAGTGAGGGCTTCACTGGTCCATGGGGACTGAACTCGTGATCCTGCCTGGCCGGTGAATTCGCTTTTCCTTAGGAAACTATTCACTGTGCTCATTCACAGCGTCCCCCTGCGGCCCCGGCGCCTCCTAAGACAGCCCGTGTCAGACGGCCAGAGCCCCACCCAAGCTCGGCTGCCCAGTGGCTGAGGACGCTGACCTCACGCCGTCCTATCAGTGTGGGAATGGCTGCATTTGTGCTGGCAGCTGCACCTCCTTAATGCTTGCTGTAGCAGCCCGGCCTGCCCTTCCCAAAGCTCTGGCCTCTACCCGGCAGCTCAGCTCAGGAAGAGAGTGGGCTGCCTGGTGAGAGGTGCTCAGACCCGGTGTCTTCCACCCCAGCCCTCTCCCTGACAGAACCAGCAAGAACCATCATACTCCAAGGACTGGCAGCAGGGCACAGGGGCCTGTCATCCCAGCACTTTGGGAGGCCAAGGCAAGAGGATCACTTGAGCCCAGGAGTTCCAGACCAGCCTGGGCAATATACTGACACCCTGTCTTTACAAAAAATCGATTAGCCAGGCGTGGGGGTGCACACCTATAGTCCCAGCTACTTGGGAGGCTGAAGCAGGAAAATCGCTTGAACCTGGGAGGCAGAAGTTGCAGTGAGCCAAGATCGCGCCACTGCACTCCAGCCGGGGCGACACAGCAAGACTCTGTCTGGAAAATAAAGGACTGGCCTGAGCTCGAATCCAGGCTCCGTCTCTTTCCAGCTGTGTGGCCCCAGGCATGTCCCTTAACCTCTCTGAACCTGATTTCACGTCTGTTAAAATGATAGTCTCTGGGAGTGGTGGCTCACACCTGTAATCCCAGCACTTTGGGAGGCCGAGGCAGGCAGATCACTTGAGGTCAGGAGTTCAAAACCAGCCTGCCCAACATAGTGAAACCCTATCTCTACTAAAAATACAGAAATTAGCTGTGCGTGGTGGCATGCGTCTGTAATCCCAGCTACTCAGGAGGCTGAGGCAGGAGAATCGCTTGAACCGGGGAGGCGGAGGTTGCAGTGCGCTGAGATCCCGCCACTGCTCTCCAGCCTGGGTAACAGGCCGAGACTCTGTCTCAGTCTCAAACAAAACAAAATGATGACAGTAAGCCCTGCCCTTCCAACTTCACAGGCCGATTTCAAAGAGCAAGAATGAGAACACACTTTGTAAACACAAAGTAAACACTTTGTAAATTGCTCTGGAGACAAGCAATGTCATTATTGCCATCAGCGTCATTCTTGTTTCCATGTAATTCTGGGTTTTGCCATTGAAAGTAATGGCAAAAACCACAGTTACTTTTGCACCAACCTAATAGTTCTGGCTCCTGGAGGACTGACTCTACCTGTTTCCTTCCAGGAGTCCCTGGGGCCATTCCTGGTGGAGTTCCTGGAGGAGTCTTTTATCCAGGTAATGTACATGAAACTTCCACACACCCAAGTCATGCAGATGATGATGATGTCCGTAATAGATGCACACTTTGACAATACAGAAGGTAGGAACATGGACACACCTACCGGAAGTCATGCCCACTTAAAATGCAATTAACAAGACACTGATTTACAGCTATTAAGAGCATACAGGCTGGACATGGTGGCTCACGCCTGTAATCTCAACACTCTGGGAGGCAGAGAAAGGAGACTGCTTGAGGCCAGGAGTTTGAGACCAGCCTGAACAACATAGGGAGATCCCCCTCTCTACACACACACACACACACGAAAATTAAAAATTTTAGCCATGTTCTATGTTGAGAAAAATGAAAATGAAGTATAGAAATTAAAAAAAAGAATTAGCTGGGCATGGTGGTGCATGCCTGTAGTCCTAGCTACTGGGGAGGCTGAGGCAGGAGGATCACTTGAGCCTAGGAGTTCAAGGCTGTGGTGAGCTATGATTGCACCACTGCACTGAAGTCTGGGTGACAGAGTAAAACCCTGTCTCTAAAAAGGAAAAGAAAAAAAAGAAAAGAAAAATCGAAAGTAATACTTTCAATACTTAAAAAGTATTTGAGTGTGCAGAAGTGACATGGAAGTGGGGAGAGACACTAGCACTCCCCCAGATACAAACTGGCACTGGACTGCTGGCCAAGCAGAAGAGAAAACTGAGGCTTGCAGAGGACAGGGCTTGCCCAAGGTCCCGCGTTAGGCAGGGGTGGATTCACCCATAGCTGGGGGTGGCAGCCGGCTTGCCTGGCAGGAGTACTGATGCTCTCTCTCTCTCTCCCCCAACAGGGGCTGGTCTCGGAGGCCTTGGAGGAGGAGGTGAGCTCAGAAACCACACTTGTTCCTCACTGAAGGGGCCTGAGTTTCACCCAAGCCACACGCATCCTCAGACCTGATAACCGTAGGAGACCCAAGCATCAAGGACTCCCTCATTTCACAGATAGCGTCCAGGCAGGGGGAAGAGGCTTCCTTGAGAACCAGAACCCATTGGCCTTCCCAGTGCCTGTGCTAGACTTTATCCCTGGTGCTCTCTACCTTCCTTTCTTTCTTTTTTTTTTTTTTTTTCTGGAGGAGGGTAGGGCCGGGGGAGGGACAGAGTCTCATTCTGTCGCCCAGGCTGGAGTGCAGTGGCATGATCTAAGCTCACTGCAGCCTCTGCCTCCCAGGTTCAAGTGATTCTCCCCCCTCAGCCTCCCAATTAGCCAGGACTACAGGCGTGTGCCACCACGCCCAGCTTATTTTTGTATTTTTTCTAGAGACAGGGGTTCTTTTCGTGTTTGCCAGGATGGTATCGATCTCCTGACCTCGTGATCCACCCGCCTCGGCCTCCCAAAGTTCTGGGATTACAGGCGTGGGCCACCGCGCCCTGCCGATACAGGGTTTCATCATGTTGGCCAGGCTGGTCTCAAACTCCCAACCTCAAGCAATCTGCCTGCCTCGGCCTCTCAAAGTGCTGGGTTTATAGGCATGAACCACCTTGCCCAGCCCCTTCCTATTTCTTTTGATCCTCAAAACCCTCCCTGCCAAGCCAGCTGAACAGGCACCATCATCCTTTTTTTTTTTTTTTTTTTTTTTTTTGAGACGGAGTCTCTGTCGCCCAGGCTGGAGTGCAGTGGCGCAATCACAACTCACTGCAAGCTCCGCCTCCTGGGTTCACGCCATTCTCCTGCCCCAGCCTCTGTCGCCCAGGCTGGAGTGCAGTGGCGCAATCTCGGCTCACTGCAAGCTCCGCCTCCTGGGTTCATGCCATTCTCCTGCCCCAGCCTCCCGAGTAGCAGGGACTACAGGTGCCCGCCACCACGCCCGGCTAACTTTTTGTCTTTTTTAGTAGAGACGGGGTTTCACCGTGTTAGCCAGGATGGTATCGATCTCCTGACCTCGTGATCCACCCGCCTCGGCCTCCCAAAGTTCTGGGATTACAGGCGTGGGCCACCGCGCCCTGCCGATACAGGGTTTCATCATGTTGGCCAGGCTGGTCTCAAACTCCCAACCTCAAGCAATCTGCCTGCCTCGGCCTCTCAAAGTGCTGGGTTTATAGGCATGAACCACCTTGCCCAGCCCCTTCCTATTTCTTTTGATCCTCAAAACCCTCCCTGCCAAGCCAGCTGAACAGGCACCATCATCCTTTTTTTTTGTTTTGAGACAAAGTCTTGCTCTTGTCACCCAGGCTGGAGTGCAGTGGCGCAATCTTGGCTCACTGCAACCTCCACCTCCCAGGTTCAGGTGATTCTCCTGCCTCAGCCTCCCGAGTAGCTGGGATTACAGGCACATGCCACTACGCCTGGCTAATTTTTATATATTTAGTAGAGCAGGGTTTCACCATGTTGGCCAGGCTGGTCTCAAACTCCTGACCTCAGATGATCCGCCTGCCTCAGCCTCCCAAAGTGCTGGGATTACAGGCGTAAGCCACCACGCCCGGCCCATCATCCCATTTTGAGGCTGAGACTCTGGGGCTGAAAGAACATAAACCATGAGTTAGAAGTAGAGCTAGGTTCCCAGGGGCTCCGTGTCTGAAAGGGACGACCTGGGGCATGAGATTCCACACTGCCCACACTTTCCCTGGGACGGGGGTTGGATAAGTAGTAGATGGATGAGCTGGGCACCCCCGTTCACTATCTTCTCTTCCATCTGCAGCGCTGGGGCCTGGAGGCAAACCTCTCAAGCCAGGTAAGACCCAAGGCCTCCGAGCACTGAGAGAGAGCGATGGGGCTGGGGAGGGAGGAACCTACCCAACTGGGAAAGAGACAAGGAAGCCGGGAACAGGACAAGGAAGCCAACGGGCAGGAGGAAGGAGGGAGGTGTGGACACCTATTAGCCTCCCAAGGATGTGTAGGCCTGGGCCAGGTCCCAGGGCTTCCAGGAACAGGAGGCTGCAAGCAGCTCCACGTCCTCCCTGTGTGAGGGCGTCTAGCATCTACCCTACACGTGCTTGTGTGTGCACCCAGCTGTCCAGAAACTCCTCTCTGCAAAGGAGAGGCTGTCTCAGAGCCTCGGCACTAGAGGCAACGTCAGGGATTGCTCCGGTTCCAGTGGCCTCCAAGCCTTACATGACCCTTGGGAGCTCAGCCCCAGATCCTCAGCCCCAGACTTCCCCTGAGTGATCTCCTAGCCCTTGACCCCATATCGCCCTGACCTTGATGCCATTCTGAGCCCTTCTCCTGACTCCAGACAGAGCACCTGTCTCAAGCTGAAGCTCAACCCCAGTCCAAGCCCTGAGCCTAACCCCAGGCTGAACCCTGACCCTGCTGACCCTGGTCCCATAGGACCCCCAATCCTGGCCTCAGGCCAAGCCCTGACCCCAAGCCCAAGCTGAGCACAACCCTGGTCCCGGATAAGCTCCCCTCCTAATCTCAGGCCCCTTCCAGCTGTGTCCAGACCATGGAGTTTTCCAGTAAGAAGGTGTGGCCGGATCTATCCTGGCCTCACCCAAGGGACTGGGATCTGCCACGAGGGTCCACTGTCAGCTCTGGGGAATGCACCCCCAGGAAGGAGGGCGGGGCAGGTCCCTCCGGGAAATACTGGCGGATAAGGAGCAGGTGGAGGAAACAGCGTCTCTCTCCAGATTGATGGCCCCTCGGCATGAGACGCTCCACATGTGACTTTGGCCGCCCCACACCCTGAGCTGTGTTGCCCTGGCTCAGAAGCCCGAGTCTCCAGGACACAGTTTAGATGTCCAAGAGCTCTTATGAAATCCTGATCGTTGATAATCCAAGTGCAAATGAATCTTCAAGACCCAGATTCCCCTGCGCTGAAAGTCCATCTGGGTTGTGAAACACCGGGGCTGGGGCCAGAAGAGGCGGGAGAATGGGGTGCCTGGGGTCTACAGGGCTCTGCAAGGCCAGGAGACCCTGGGGGCTTGCCACTTATCCCTGCCAGCACCTATACCCTGTCCTCCTGGAGTGGGTGAGAGTTCTTAGCAGGGTCTTTGATGGTGGAGAGAGGACGGGGAGATGATAGTGGCACAGAGGTGCGGAGGTAGGTCTGTGCTTGGCCTGGAAGACCCAAATTGAGGAGGCTGTGCCTGCAAAGCTGGAAGGTAGATTCATTGATCCCACTAGCAGCAAGAGACACAGAGCAGGCTGTGGTTAAACACCGGAGGAAAGACAGACAACTCCCTATGGAGTTCCAGGATGTGTAGTTGCGAAAGTGAAGCTTTTGTTAATGAAAGATTTAGGTTAGACTTCTGAAAGAACTTCCAGCTCAGGGTGAAGGAGTCAGTCCAAAGGAAAGTCAGAGCATCTCCTTCTGATAAAAAGGGCGCTATTTCCAGGCAAGGGGCTGGATTCCATGACCTCCCCAAAGACTCAGGGCTACAAAAGGGTTGGCAGAGCCCCCATGGCACCCCCAGGGAAGCCCCCACATCCGGGCTGCCTGGATGTCCGGGCCTGCCCAGGCAGAATGGAATGGGGCACAGGCAGCGCGTGTCATGCCTGGGAACAATTAATCCCTTGGTGACAGAGGGTGGGTGGCCTGGCAGCTGCTTTTCCACGTGGGCGCCACCGCGGGTCCAAGCTGGCCCCGCCCTGCCTCAGCTCTCAGCGGGGGACCGGGCAGCTGGGAGTCTGCACGCCCCACGCCCTGAGCACTAGCCAGAGGCCAGTCGCCCACTGAGAGGGTCACGGGCAAGGACAAGAAGGACCTGGGAGCACCCACTGTGCGCCCTGGGTAGGTTGCACACACTAGGTGCTTTCTGCGCACATACTCACTGGTCCCAGGAAGGCAGGCGATATAATGGCCATTTTGTAGATGGTGAAAACTGAGCCTGATCGGAGAGGCAAATTGACCTGCTTGTGCTCATGGAGGCTGGGTAGCAGCAGCAGGGTCTGAATCTAGAACTCTCTGATTCCAGAAAGAAAGGAGGATGGGGCTGGCCAGGTCCCTGGACTCCCAGCTGTGGTCAGCCCCTCCCCACTTTCTCCTCCTTTCCAGGTGCTGGAATCCTTGGGGCATTTGGGGCAGGTGAGTGCAAAGGAAGGAGGGCAGGCAGAGACAGAAGTGGTCAGGCCACAGGACAGGACGTTCAGGCTGGGATCATGGGAAAAAGGAAGATGGCTCCAGAGAAGCCACCTGCCCCCCACTGCAGTCCCAGCCTCTTCTCACTTCCTGTGCAGTCCTCAGCTTCCGCTGTCAGTCCCTCTGTGGACAGGTCTGAGCATGTCTCTTGCCCTCTCAGAGCTCAGGAAACAGGCCTGGCTTGAGAGAAGTGACTGCCAGAGCTGGTGGGGCAGGGCCCGAGTGCTGGGAAGTGACTTCTGCCTGATCACCAGGCGCTCCCGCCCAGAGGCAGAGACGCTTCTTACATGAGCCTGGCTGAGTTTCAGAAGGGTCCAGGTCCCACTAGTAGGAAATGAGTGACGAGGAGTGGTTAGTAACAGAGACCACACCCAGGGAAAGCCAAGGGGGACCTATCCAGGGTACAGCGGGTTCCATGTTTGGGATCCATCCCCGGAGAGGACTCGCCCCTGGGGCTCAGGACTGGCACTTGTAGGAGAGATCGTCACATAATTAGAAACAAACCTGGCACGGTTGTGAACTCCGACCTGATGGCCCATTGGTCCTGGCCAAGGCAATGGAATGTCTCCCGGCGCGGGAGACGAAGCGATTGGGCCCAGATGTGGGGAGGAGACAGCCAGAGGGACCCATTTGATGCCTCATAAACATCTTAGCAAGGAGGCTCCTGGGCTGCAGGGCAGGCTGGATGGAAGGACAGATGGGTAGTGGGGACACAGGAGTTCCCCAATGTAGGTGAAGGGGAGGGGACTGAGTCAAGAGATATCTGCAAGGAAGCAGAAGACAGATCTCACTGGCCTGGGTGAGGTCTCGCTCACAGACTCTGCTCTGTCCCAGCCCTTGCCGAAAGCCCTGCTGAATCCTGTTAGCCAGCAGGACTTCTAGGAGAAGCACAGGGCTGGCCCAGGCTTGTTAGGGATCGGTGCAACGACACCTGCACTGTGCATAGTAGTCGCTCACTAAACTACTGGTGAATGCTATTTTATCAGGATCGACCCTGAGCATCACAGGCTTAGGGACCAGCCCAGGGACCTGAGTGGCTGATCACAGCACTGCCCTAACTCCATGAGACCCTTCCCACTCTGGGCCTCGGAATGCTGCCTATACGCCTGACTCTGTTTTCCTATCCACAGGTCCCGGAGGGCTTGCGGGCACTGGCCTTGGGGCAGGTGAGTACTGACACCCAAACAAGATGCCCTTTGTGGGGACCAGACCCTGAGCTCAACCCAGGGCTGGTATGGAGCACAGTCATGGAACAAGGGTACAGGCCAGATTCCGTCCTGGGCACTGATGGGGACTGATGCTGATACCACCTGCCCCAAGCAGCTGCCCAGGACATGAGGAAATGGCAGTTGAGTACCTGGGTTCCTTTATAACATAGTAGTGAAGGCTGCATGGAGGAAGCCCCACGGACCAAGGAAGTCCAGGGGAGTCACTTAACTCAGCAGGGGTTCAGGAAGGCATTCTAGAGGAGGGGTGGGGAAATGTGACCCCAAAAGATCCATGCAGTTTTCAGGAAGGCTGAGGTGAGAGGATCACTGGAGCCCAGGAGGCTAAGGCTTCAGAGAGCTATGATCATGTCACTGCACTCCAGCCTGGGCGACAGAGAAAGACTTCATCTCTTTTGTTGTTGTTGTTGTTGAGACAGAGTCCCACTCTGTCACCCAGGCTGGAGTGCAGTGGCTCGATCTCAGCTCACCACAACCTCCGCCTCGGGTTCAAGTGATTCTTGTGTCTCAGCCTCCCAAATAGCTGGGATTACAGGCGTGCACCACCACACTCGGCTAATTTTTGTATTCTTAGTAGAGACAGGGTTTCACCATGTTGGCCAGGCTGGTCTCGAACTCCTGGCCTCAAGTGATCCACTCACCTTGGCCTCCCAAAGTGCTGGGACTACAGTCTCAAGCCACTGTGCCCGGCCGCAAGACCCCATCTCTAAAGGGGAAAAAAAAAGAGCCATACAGTTTTGTCAGAGCTGTCCGACACATTAACCCCAGCACAGAATCTAGTTATGGTGCTTAGGCACGGTGGCTCACACCTGTAATCCTAGCACTTTGGGAGGCTGAGACGGGCAGATGGCTTGAGCCCGGGAGTTCGAGACCATCCTGGACAAGATGGTGAAATCCTGTCACTACAAAAAATACCAAAAAAAAAAAAAAAAAAAAAAAATTGCCAGGCACAGTGGCATGCACCTATAGTCCCACCTACTCAGAAGGCTGAGGTGGGAGGATTGCTTGAGCCTGGGAGGTTGAGGCTGCAGTGAGCCGAGATCACACCACTGCACTCCAGCCTGGGTGACACAGTGAGACCTTATCATTAAAAAAAAAAAAAAAAAAAAAAATCCAGTACTGGTGAGCAGTGCTCACATAGATGTCCTGCAGGCATTGATGTCTGGCAGACAGCAGAAGAGCCTCCAATCTGCTTCCTGAGTGGGGCACGGCCAGGCAGGGCCAGTGTAGGAGTCTTCATGGGTGTGGTAACTCAGGACCTCACCCCATCCTCCCCTCCGCAGGGCTCGGCGCCTTCCCTGCAGGTGCCTTTCCGGGAGCTCTGGTGCCTGGTGGAGTGGCTGACGCTGCTGCAGCTTACAAAGCTGCCAAGGCTGGTGAGTGGTGCTCTTTGGGGCATGCCACAAGCTCTCTGGCTGCCATGGGGCCCCTCCGCTTTGCAAAGAACCTTCCCTCAACTCAGGCCTGGGAACGGGGTGGGTGGGGCTGTTAGCTGCAATCTACTGGGGCTCAGGGAGGCAGCTAGCTGTGCCCAGTCTGCAGGTGAGTGAGTAACGGGGCCAGACCTCAATGCCAGGCCCTCAGCATGCAGCCCCGGGCCCTTCTGCCTCCCCACTGTTCCTTGTGCAATGCCTCACCTATCCTGGCTCTGCAGGCGCTGGGCTCGGTGGTGTCCCAGGAGTTGGTGGCATTGGTGGCGTTGGCGGCGTTGGTGGCTTAGGAGTGTCTACAGGTACGATGGCTGTCCCCGAACTGCCTGGGTCAAGCCTGCAGGCCTGGGCGGAGCCAACTCTGATGTGGCCCCTTCTGTACCAGGTGCGGTGGTTCCTCAGCCTGGAGCCGGAGTGAAGCCTGGGAAAGTGCCGGGTCAGTGCGGAGTTCCTGGGGCTGGAGGACAGAGGGCAGGGAGGGGCAGAGCCCTCTCCACGCCACTGCACTCGGGGAGGAAGGGCAGGGCCTGGCTTCAGTCGGGCAGAGAAACTAGCCAGGCCCAAAGTGTGGTGCCTGCGTCTGTGAAATGGGGAGGAGGGTCCTGGCCTACTTCCTGGGCCCTTCTCCCAGGATCTTGGGGTAGAAAGAGACGGGCTGTGTGGCAGGCTGTCGGGCGACAGATGGGGACACTGAGGCTCAAAGAGGCGAGTCAGTGTGGAAGGGCTTGCGGCAAGCCCTGACAGAGCTAGGGGAGCCCGGTGTCCTCTGACTCCCCATCTGGTACTCGTTCTGCCGAACCAAGCCCTTTAGGAAGTGACTTCAGGTTAAACAAAAGACTGCCTGAGTCTACACAGCAGGGAGGGACATCTGGAAGCTGTTAGCCAGAGGTGGGCTGGCCCAGCCATGTAAACAGGCTCCAGGAGACAGAGATAAATCCACACGCCGAAGAGTTTGCAGATGACTTCCGAAACTGGTGGGAGGAGGGTTGTGGCCACCCCACGTCTGTCCCTGGCTGCCCCTGTCGGGCAAGGGGCTGTGGGTTTGAGGGCCTTGGAGCTGCCCGGGTGGGGAGGGCCGGGGAGGGAATCCCTGGAGGCTGAGCTACTGCTCATAACTTTGCTTTCTTTTGGCCACAGGTGTGGGGCTGCCCGGTGTATACCCCGGTGGAGTGCTCCCAGGCACAGGTGAGGGCAAGGAGGGAAACAGGGACTGTATGGGAAGAAAGCAGCCAGGACGCAGTGGCTCATGCCTGTAATCCTGTTGCTTTGGGAGACTGAGGCGGGAGGATGGCTTGAGGCCAGGAGTTTGAGACCAGTCTGGGCAACATCGTAAGACCCTCATCTCTACAAAAAAATGTAGCCAGGCATGGTGGTGTGCACCTGTAGTCCCAGCTACTCAGGAGGCTGAGGTGGGAGGATTGCTTGAGCCCAGGAGGTCCACGTTGCATTGAGCTATGATGGCGCCACTGCACTGCAGCCCGGGTGACAGAACAAGACCCTGTCTCAAAACAAAGAAAAAGAAAAAGAAACAGAAAAGCAGCCCCCTCAACCTCCCTAGTTCTCCCCTCGCCTCCCCGAAAAGCGGAGGCCACCAGAAGCCCTGGGTCCTGACCTGAGCCATTTCCCAAACACCAAAGCTCAGGCTAACAGACATAAGGTCCCTGGCAGTCTGTCCATCCCCTAAAGGTCAATCATCCTTCCTGCACCCCACCCAAGTCCTGATCCCAGGCACAGATCATCATCACAGCCCGAGGCAGGCCCCTGAGGACAGACCCCAGAGTGACCAGCTGTTTCCCAAAAGCTGTGAGTCACCAGGGGGCCACCCAATGAGTCTGCCCTGCAGGAGATCCTAAAGAGCTGCCCCTCACCCTCCTTTCCCCTGCCAGGGCCTGACCACCTCACCCAACATGTGACCTCCTGAATTCCCCCAAAAGCCCAGATTTAGGCTGTTCTGTGGGATTTGCTGACAGAGTGGCCCTTCCTCCCTCTCTCCCCTGCTATGCCGAGAGCCAAGGCTGCCCAGCCCCAGGGGAGACGGGAGAGGTGGAAGACGCTGGCATGGTCCCAGCTGTAGCTGGATGGCTGCTTTGGGGGCCTGGGTTGTGAACGAGAGCCCCAGAGAGCATGGGCCTCCCTGGTCTACGGGCGAGTGGCATCACCCAGCCGCTGTCCCTCTCTTTACCTTTTTTGCGGAGGGTGGTCGGGACGGCTTTTGTGATTAACTCCAGCATAGAGATGAGGCTGACTGAGGCACAAGCTCACATGGCTGGGAAATAGGATTAAAACTCAGATCTTCTGACCTTGAGCCAGACAGGGAAGGAAAGTCAGCACTAAACAGGTCCTTTCTCCACCCACCCCGTGAGCCGTGCCTGTCACTGACAGTCGGTCCCAAGGGAGGTCAGCTGGGGGACCTGAGGAGGGGAGGGGTTCCCAGCAGGGCCTGCAAGGCCTGCCTTCCTATGCTCACTGCTTTGTCCCCCGGCAGGAGCTCGGTTCCCCGGTGTGGGGGTGCTCCCTGGAGTTCCCACTGGAACAGGAGTTAAGCCCAAGGCTCCAGGTATGCAGCTGTCTGGACAGAGAGCTGATGGTGGGGACTCTCCCACCACCTTCTGGCCCTGGGTGTGAAATGGGGTGGGATCCTGGACTGGCTCAGGGCCCTCTGGGTGACACCTTTTAGGTTCCAGCCCTGGGCAGCCTAGTGCCGAGAAACACCAGACTGTGGCTGGGCGCACTAGCTCACACCTGTAATCCCAGTGTTTTGGGAGGGTGAGCTGGGAGGATCGCTTGGGCCCAGGAGTTCAAGACCAGCCTGGGCAACATAGCAAGACCTTATCTCTACAAAAACATGATTAAAAAATTAGCCAGACGTGGTCACACACACCCGCGGTCCCAACTACTCAGGAGGCTGAGACAGGAGGATCTCTTGAGCCCAGGAGATCAAGTTTGTCGTGAACTATGATCACACCACTACACTCCAGCCTGGGCAACAGAAAGAGACCCTGTTCCCCACTCAAAAAAAAAAGAAAGAAAGAAAAGAGGGCCAGATGCAGTGGCTCATGCCTGTAATCCCAGCACTTTGGGAGGCCGAGGTGGGCAGATCACTTGAGGTCAGAAGTTCGAGAGCAGCCTGGCCAATATAGTGAAACCTCGTCACTACTAAAAATACAAAAATTAGCCAGGTGTGGTGGTGGGCACCTGTAGTCCCAGCTACTTGGGAGCTGAGGCAGGAGAATCGCTCAAACCCAGGAGGCAGAGGTTGCAGTGAACCAAGATCATGCCCCTGCCCTCCAGCCTGGGCAATAGAGAGACCCTGTTTCCAAAAAAAACAAAACAAATAAGAAAAAGAAAAGAAAACCGGTGCGGTGGCTCATGCCTGTAATCCCAGCATTTTGGGAGGCCAAGTCAGGCAGATCACATGAGATCAGAAGTTCAAGAGCCGTCTGGCCAACATGGTAAAACCTCGTCACTACTAAAAATACAACAATTAGCCAGGTGTCGTGGTGCGTGTCTGTAATCCCAGCTACTCAGGCGGCTGAGGCAGGAGAATTGCTTGAACCTGGAAGGCGGAGACTGCAGTGAGCCGAGATCATGCCACTGCACTCCAGCCTGGGCAACAGAACAAGACTCCATCTCAAAAAAAAAAAAAAAAAAAAAAAAAAAAAAAAAAAAAAAGACTGGGCACAGTGGCTTATACCTGTAATCCCAGCACTTTGGGAGGCCGAGGTGGGTGGATCACCTAAGGTCAGCCTGACCAACATGGTGAAGCCCCATCTCTACTAATAATACAAAAATTAGCTGGGTGTGGTGGCCTGCACCTGTAATCCCAGCTACTTGGGAGGCTGAGGCAGGAGAATCGCTGGAACCTGGGAAGCAGAGAGTTGAGATTGTGATCTTATCGCACCACAGCCTGGGCGACAAGAGCGAATCTCTGTCTCCGAAAAAAGAAACCCCAGAGTTCATGTGAGGGCAGCATGCGAGACTGGTCTGGGAAGAACTGGCCATTCCTTGGGCCTCCTGGCCCCTTGGTACTGTCTGGCCCAGTGTCCACAGTGCCAGGGCTGCAGTGACAGCTTTTTATCATTACAGGTGTAGGTGGAGCTTTTGCCGGAATCCCAGGTGAGGCAAGGCTGGTGGGAGAAGCAGGGTGGCCAGCCAGGCAGACGCTCTTACCTCGGGAGGGGCTGGGCACCCAAGATCCTATCCAAGCCTGCCCAATTTCCCCCATGCCTGCTGCGCCAGGCCTTGCAGTGGCTGTAGCACAAAGTGGCACCCATCCCAGGCCTGCTGCCTCTGCTGGCATAGCAGCCCAAAGTCCAAAGGAGTCCAGAAAACCCGCCAGCCTGTGCCAAGGGCCGCAGGCCCCAGGAGGGAGAGAATCCCATAGCTTCCTGGAGGAAGTGGCCTGTTGCTGGGAGTTTCTCAACTGACCCATGATGGAGATTCAGGGAGTCCTTCAAAACAGAATGGTTTCTGGATGCTGTAGCAAGCTCCTTCTGTCTGAGCAGAAAGTGGAGTGAGTGGAGGAGGGTTTGGAAGGGGCTGCTGGGACCACAACTTGCTCTCTTTAATCCCACAGGAGTTGGACCCTTTGGGGTACAGCAACCTGGAGTCCCACTGGGGTACCCCATCAAGGCCCCCAAGCTGCCCGGTAAGTCAGAGGGATGATTCAAGATGCACCACTCGGCCAGGTGCGGTGGTTCATGCCTGTAATCCCAGCGCTTTGGGAGGCCAAGACGGGCAGATCACTTGAGGTCAGGAGTTCAAGACCAGCCTGGCTAACATGGCGAAACCCCGTCCCTACTAAAAATACAAAAATTAGCCAGGTGTGATACTGCAGACCTGTAATCCCAGGTACTGGGGAGGCTGAGACAGGAGAATCTCTTGAACCTGAAAGGCGGAGGTTGCAGTGAGCTGAGATCGCGCCACTGCACTCCAGCCTGGGTAACAGAGTGAGACTCTGTCTCCAAAAAAAGAAAACAAGAAGAAGAAAAAATGCACCACTCACTGCGCCTCCCTGCACAGAAGTCAGCCTGGGTACAGGTGTCTCTGGTGGCAGGGAAGGGGTATTGAAGCCCCTATATGGTCACCAGCCAAGGAGAGCATGGGAAAGTCATCTGCAGATATTGGACTCACACACGCACGCTCATGCACAGAGACCCATAGCCCCAATCTGAAGCTATTATGCTGTTAGAAAGGAACACGGTTAATTGGAAAGATCCCTCTAACATCCACCCCCTCGTGCTCCTGCCCCTACCTCTGCAATCAGCTTAGACAATGAGATGCTTTCCACTGGGGAGGGGGTGTAAGGAAAATACTCAGACTCCAGGGACATGATGGGGCTTGAATTTGTAGGGGGATGAGTGTTCCATCGGGCCCCAGGGGCAGAAGTGTCCTCTGCCTCCTCCACCCAGCACCTCTGCTCTCCTGGGAGCAGCATAGGACCCTGGTGTGGGAGGTCTCAGGCCTCAGCACCTGTGGGAGCAGATCTGTCCACCCAGGTTGGTGGGAGCCCAGCAAGGCATGGGGAAGCCCCTGAGCTTGCTCTGTCCTCTCTCCAGGTGGCTATGGACTGCCCTACAGCACGGGGAAACTACCTTACGGTGAGTGAGACCCTTCTAGACTGTGGGCTTCCAGCTCTTTCCTACTCCAGGGTCCTAGCAAGGGTGCTGTGCTTCCAGCCCTGGGCCAGGAGAGCACCTCGCTGGGGCAGGGTTGGGGTCTTGGAGTGGGAATCTCAGGAGGAAAGGGCATGGACTTTGCACTCAGCATGGGTCTCCATCCCTGCCCTCCCACCTATCAATAATGAGACCTTAGGTGAGCTGTGTTCCTTCTTTGAGCCTCTGTGTCCTCATCTGTAAAATGGACAGAACAATTCCATACACATATTTGTATTTGTTTTCACTCTAGCTAGGAGTGACAGGTGCAGACTCAGGACAGCTTGGGCCCCGAGGGCAAGGCAGGGGGAGGGGGAGGGCAGCAGTAGTGACGTCTGCACAAATAACCACCAAGCCTCTCTGTTTTGCAGGCTATGGGCCCGGAGGAGTGGCTGGTGCAGCGGGCAAGGCTGGTTACCCAACCGGGACAGGTAAGGAAAGCCTTACCTTACTTCCAGCCAAGGGATCACTGATCTTCGGGGCTCCAGAGCCCTGGGGTGGGTGAGGTTCTCTCCTGAAAGCAGAGCAGCCCACCCTGCATCCAGACCCTGGTGAAAACCTGCAGCAGGATCCTGGGGGAGGGGTGGGGCAGCTCCGTCAGCCTCTTCCAGGTCTGAAGCCCCCACATATACCCGCATGTCAGTGGATTGGCTCTCTCGGGACTGGAAACAAGTGGGCTCTGGAGATACAGGAGCACTGTTTCAAGATCTCTCCCCTCTGCTCCCCTTCCCCAGGGGTTGGCCCTCAGGCAGCAGCAGCAGCGGCAGCTAAAGCGGCAGCAAAGTTGGGTGAGTGCCCCTGGAGTCCCCACCTGGTGGCCTCCAGCCCCCTAGCCTCTCCATTCCCATTACTATTGAGAGCCTGCCTCATAGATGAATGACCAAAGTGGCCCCTACTTATCCCCATTTACTCAAAATTTTCAACACCACCCATCTATCTATCCCTCCCTCCAACCATTCTTCCATGCGTCCATGCATCCATTTATCCTTCCATCTGTCTATTACTTTCTCCATCCCTCCCTCTTTCCATCCATTTCTCTATGCATCCATCTATCCATCCATCCACTCATCCAACCATCCTTTCATCCATCCATCTATCCCTCCCTCCATCCATTCCCGTTCCTCCATGCCTCCATCTATCCATCCATCCATTCATCTACTCATCTACCCACCCATGCATCCATCCATCCACTCATCCACCTGTTCATTCACCCATCCATCTCTCCCTCCATCCATTCATCCATCCATCCATTCATTCATTCACCCATTCATTCATCCATCCATCCATCCCTCCATTCATTCCTCTATGCATCCATCTATCCATCCATCCAGTCATCTATCCATTCATCCACTTATCTACACATCCATGCATTCATCCATCCATCCATTCCTCCATGCATCCATCTATCCATCCATCTATCCACTTATCCATCCATTCATCCATCCATCAATCCCTCCCTCCATCCATTCTTCCATCCATCCATCCACACATCCATCCATTCCTCCATGCATCCATCTATCCATACACTCATCCATCCATCCATCCATCCATCCATCCCCTCATCCATCCATCCATTTATCCATCCATCACTCCCTCGCTCCATTCATCCATCCATCATCTATCCATCTATTCCTCCGTGCACCCATTCGTCCATCCAACCATTCCTCCATGCATCCATCTATCCCTCCATCTGTTCCTCCAGGCACCCATCCATCCATTTCTCCATGCATGCATCCATCCTTCCATCCATCCATCCATCCATCCACCCACCATCTATTCCTCCGTGCATCCATTCATCCATTCCTCCATACATCCATCCATCCACCCACCCATCAGTTCATCCCTCCATCCATTCTTCCATCTATCCATCCACTCATCCATCCATTCCTCCATGCATCCATCTATCCATCCATCCATTCATACATCCACTCATCCATCCATCCATTTACCCATCCATCCACTCATCCATCCATCCATCCATCCATCACTCCCTCCATCCATCCATCTGCCCATTCTTCCATGCATCCCTCTATCCATTCCTCCATGCACCCATCCATCCATTTCTCCATGCATGCATCCATCCTTCCATCCATTCATCCATCCATTCATCCATCCATCCATCTACTCACCCATGCATCCATCCACCCATCTATTCATTTCTCCATGCATCCACCCATCCATCCACTCATCCATCCATCCATTTACTCATCCATCCACTCATCCATATATCCATCCATCCATCCATCCATCCATTCATCCATCAGTCCATCCATCCATCACTCCCTCCATCAATTCTTCCATCCATCCATCCATCTGCCAATTCTTCCGTGCATACCTCCATCCATTCCTCCATGCACCCACCCATCCATTCCTCCATGCATCCATGCACCCATCCATCCATTCCTTCCTTCCTTCATTCATTCATTCATTCATCCATTCATTCCTCCATGCGTTCATCCATGTCTCCTTTGTTCCCTCCCTCACTGCCTCCTCCCACACATCCATCTCAGAGATCAGGAACAAGCAAGAGTTCTTGTAGAGAATATAGCCACTGTTGTGGGAGTCAAGAAATGGGAGGCATTTTTTTCTACCTGGGGAAGGGCTTCCCAGAAAAAGTGATGTGTGATTCAGGCCTTAAAAAATAAAGATGGAGCTTACTATGTGGTTAAAACAGGAAAGAGGAGGCCAAGCAGAGGGAATGGGTACCATGGTGGTTAGAAAGATAATTTTAGGTGGTGCATATATAAGCATTTAAAACATTTAATAGTTATATATCAATTTAATGTGTACTATAAAATTTTTAACTCACTGCTCAGGCCAGTGAGCTCTTGGCTAGCATGGCTGCAGATGGAATGTGGTATTCCTGTGCCCGTGCAGTGAGTGGAGTGGGCATCTGTCCCCCACCCCAGGTAGTGCCCACCTCAGGGTCAGACCACTAGGGCTGAAGTCCTCCTTCATCCTCAGCCCCAGGGAAGCCCTTTCCTTATCTCCCCACCAGTCTGAGAGAGCGGGAATGTGGGGAGAAGCCTGGAGCTGGGCCTCCCAGCGGAAGCCCTGCAGGCCCCCCTCCCAGCACCGGAGGCTTCTTGGCCCCAGCGGCTGGTGGGATGGCTGGAATGTGGGAGCGGGAGAGCAGGGCTGTGAGGGGCTGCCAGAGCCAAGCGGCCAGGCGCTTGGATTACAAACTTGGCTGCATCTTCGGAACACAGGGAGAGGAAGTCTTGAACATTCCTGCAGGGGCCCCTCTGGCCCAGGGAGCGGTCACTTGTGGTTTCTCAGTATGTGGCAGTGATTAGAATGGGATTTGTCTGAAAACATGCACGTCCCTTAATGAGCGTGTTGAAATGGACACTTTGGGGGAGACTCAAGGAACTGTAGAGTCCGGTGGGGGCCTCCCCAAACAGGCCCATCTGGAGACACCTGGGCCCCATTCCTGGATGAGATCGCACTGGTGAAAATGCCGGTGTCTAAGTGGCCATCCTGCCTGTCCTCAGGAGGGTCCTTGGGAAAGTACATTGCACTGTCCCCATCTCAACAGGTGCTGGAGTCCTCCCTGGTGTTGGCGGTGTTCCTGGCGTGCCTGGGGCAATTCCTGGAATTGGAGGCATCGCAGGTAACATCTGTCCCAGCAGGGGGTGGGTGTGTCCTTGAGATGGCCACAAGACAAGGACCTCACCCTCTGTGGCTGTGTTTTCAGGTGCTGGGGCTCCAGCTGCAGCTGCAGCTGCAGCAGCAGCCGCTAAGGCAGCCAAGTACGGTGAGTGCCTCCCGGGGTGGCAATCCCACAGCTCGGGCCCCTGCATGGACCTCGGAGACCCTAGCCCTAAAGCCGAATGGACTTGGTCTTTGTCCCTTCCCAAATACGCATTGTTCATGCCTCCTTACCTTTGCTCCTTCTGATCACTCTACCTGAGATGCCATCTCTATTGTTTTGTCCTGATTAACTCAGCAGAGGGAGGGGACCCTGCAGAGGGGACCTCGCTCCCCCCACTCCATCCCCTCCAGGGCTGGCCCACAGGTGTCTGCTGCATCAACTAAGTGGGTGCCCAGTGGAGGGAATTCTGACTGTGCTTTAGAAATAGATCACATTCTAGCTATGCGCAGTGGCTCACGCCTGTAATCCCAACAATTTGGGAGGCTGAAACCAGGAGTTTGAGACCAGCCTGAGCAACATACTGAGACCCCATCTTTCCAAAAATTATTTTAAAATTATCTAGGCATGGTGGCACATGCCTGTGGTCCCAGCTACCTGCGAGGCTTAGGGGGGAGGATGGCTTGAGCCCAGTAGTTCAAGGCTGTAGTGAGCTCTGATCATGCCACTGCACTCCAGCCTGGGTAAGTGAGAATTTCGTTCAAATAAAAAAGGAAAGAGAGACAGAAAGACAGAGGAAAGGAAAGGGAAGGGAAGGGAAGGGAAAGGAAGGGAAGGGAAGAAAAGGGAAGGGAAGGAGGAAGGGAGGGAGAGAGAGAGGCAGGAAGGAAAGAAAGAAAGGAAGAAAGAGAAAGAAAGAAAGAAAAAAAGAAAGAGAGAGAAAGAAAGAGAGGGAGGGAGGGAAAGAAAGAGAAAGAAAGGAAAGACAGAAAGAAAGAAAAAGAAAGAGAAAAGAAAGAAAAAGAAAGAAAGAAAGAAAGAAGGAAAGAAAGAAAGAAAGAAGAAAGGGAAGGGAAGGGAAGGGAAGGGGAAAGGTGGGGAAGGGCTGGAAGAAAAAAGGGGGTGGAAGGGAAGGAGGGTGGTGTGGTGTATGGCTGGGAGGGAGAGAGAGAGAGAGAGAGAGAGAGAGAGAGAGAGAGAGAGAGGAGCAAAGTGGCGGCAGGCAGGTGTTCAGGTGTGTGTGTGTTTGTGTGTGGGGTAGTGCGCAGGAGCTGGTGTTGCGCATTGCATACAGCACACACACACATATTATTCAGCATATATAGGCTGCAGGAAAGAGAGAAAGAAAGAAAGAAAGACAATACAGAAAGAGAGAGAGAGAGAGAGTATAGAAGAGTAAGAGAGAGAGAGAGAGAGAAAGAGAGAGAGAGAGCATGAGAGAGAGAAAGAAAGAGAGAGGGAGAGAGAGAAAAAGACCAGGACACAGGAGGCGGAGGCGGAGTTGTAAAGAAAGTTATTAAAAAAGGAGACAGGCAGGCAGCAGGCAGGCAAGGCAGGCAGCGCACGCTTCATATGAAGAAGAAAAAGAAAGAAAGAAAAAAAAAAGAAAGAAGGAAAGAAAGAAAGAAAGAGAAAAAGAAAGAAAGAAAGAGAAAGAAAGAAAGAAAGAAAGAAAGAAAGAAGAAAAAGAGAAAGAAGAAAGAAAGAAAGAAAGAAAGAAAGAAAGAAAGAAAAAAAGAAAGAAAGAAAGAAAGAAAGAAAGAGAGAGAGAGAGAGAGAGAGAGAGAGGGAGGGAGGGAGGGAGGGAGGGAGGGAGGGAGGGGAAGGAAGGAAGGAAGGAAGGAAGGAAGGAAGGAAGGAAGGAAGGGGAAGGAAGGAAGGAGAAGGAAGGAAGGAAGGAAGGAAGAAGGAAGGAAGGAAGGAAGGAAGGAAGGAAGGAAGGAAGGAAGGAAAAAGAAAAGAAAAGAAAAAGAAAGAGATCACCCTCCTCCAGCCCACAGATTCAAATCCCTAGAGCTCTTTAGGGACCCTCTTAGTCTTTCTGCATCTCTCTGATGAGTTGGATCCATGCAGAGGAAATGTCAACCCACCTGCAGTCGTGCACTCAGGACCAACTGTCACTTCCATACTCTACTAACCACCCTTGGAGCCCCTCTGAGGTTCCCATAAGTTAGGAAAACAATGCTTTTTCTTCCACAGGAGCTGCTGCAGGCTTAGTGCCTGGTGGGCCAGGCTTTGGCCCGGGAGTAGTTGGTGTCCCAGGAGCTGGCATTCCAGGTGTTGGTGTCCCAGGAGCTGGCATTCCAGGTGTTGGTGTCCCAGGAGCTGGCATTCCAGTTGTCCCAGGTGCTGGGGTTCCAGGTGAGCTGGGCTCTGTGTGTGTGTGTGTGTGTGTGTGTGTGTGTGTGTGTGTGTGTGTGTAGGAGAGAAATACTGAGACTATTGCCAAAATTTGTGCATTCTCCCTAACACCTTAACCATCTGCCCATACCCTTGACCACATGTCATCCCCTCATCTTCTCTTCCTTGGGTTATACCAATCTGCTAATTAGCTTCTAACCAGTATCATATTTTCCAGTTGACCTTCTGGTTATCAGTGTTCTCTGGGGGGCAGGAACCGTGTCTTTTTCAACTCCATGTTCCTAGCCCTTAGCTGAGTAGGTGTTCAGTTTATGGTGGATAGAAGGGTAAGTGGGTTGATGGATGGATAAGTGGATAAATGGGTGGGTAGATGGATGAATGGGTGGGTGGATGAATGAATGGATGGATAGATGGGTGTATGAATGGGTGGGTGGGTGGATGGATGGATGGATGGATGGATAAGTGGATGGATGAATGGGTGGAGAGATGAGTAGGTGAGTGGATGTGTGGGTGGATGGGTGGGGGATGGATAGATGAGTGGATGGATGGGGGCATGGATGGATGGGAGGATGGATGGAAGAATGATGATGAATGGGTAGATGGATGGGGGATGGATGGATGGGAGGCTGGATGAAAGAATGGGTGGATGGATGGGTAGATGGATGGATGGGTAGATGGATGGATGAATGAGCACATGGTTGGAGGGGCAGATGAATAGATGGGTGGGTGGAAGGGTAGGCAGACAAATGCAAAATGGATGGTTGGATAGGTTAGACGAATGGATAGATAGGCAGATGGGATAAGCTGGTAGATAGATGAGTGAACAGAGAGTTAGGTGGTTGGGTGGGTGGATTGAGATCCAAGGATAGACAGACAAATGGACAGCCGGGCGTGGGTGGCTCACACCTGTAATCTCAGCACTTTGGGAGGCCAAGATGGGCAGATTACCTGAGGTCAGGAGTTTGAGACCAGCCTGGCCAATATGGTGAAACCCTGCCTCCACTAAAAATAGAAAGAAATTAGCCAGGCGTGGTGGTGGGCTCCTGTAATCCCAGTTACTTGGGAGGCTGATCAGGAGAATTACTTGAACGGGGGAGGCAGAGATTGCAGTGAGCTGAGATCACACTATTGCACTCCAGCCTGGGCCACAAGACTAAGACTCCGTCTCAAAAAAAAAAAAAAAGACAAATGGACAAGTATAGAGGTGGGTCATTGGGTAGATGGATGATGGAGGTGGCTGGGTATACAGACGGGCAGGTGGGGGACATCATCAGTGCATAAATGGAGATATAGCCAACTCTATGTTGGCATGAAAGAAGAAGGCCCAACACACAGATGGGTAGACAGACGGATACATACTGTGCAGCTCTCCTTCAATCTCTCCTGAGCATTTGTGTCCCTCTTGGTCTCTCCAGGGGCTGTGTCACCAGCTGCAGCTGCTAAGGCAGCTGCGAAGGCAGCCAAATACGGTGAGTGCTATGCTGACAGCTCTGCCCCCCACTGTCCTGACCTCTACTTACCAGAACTAAAGGACTCTCCTCTACTTGCCCAGAGAAGGGAAGTGACTTGCCCAGGGTCACCGAGCAAGTCACCGGCAGGCCTCAGGACGATGTCTCCCCCGTTTGTCTTCTACCACAGGGCCACGGGGCTGAGTGGTGGGAAAGTCCCAGGATGGCATTCCCAGTGGGGACAGTGACCCTGACCCTCCCTGCTCTGGCCAAGGCCCTCTCAGAGGAGCCCAAAACTGTCTGGGGATCCTGCCAATAGTCTCTCTGCATCCAACCAAGGGGGGCTTCCCCAAGTGCTCAGAGAGGAGAGGGGCCGGAGGAGGACTGAAGAGTGTCCGTAAAAGCTTCATGGTGGGGCTGGGTGCAGTGGCTCACATCTGTAATCCCAGCATTTTGGGAGACCAAGGTAGGAGAATCGCTTGAGGCTGGGAATTAGAGACCAGCATGGGCAAAATAGCAAGACCCTGTCTCTACATAAAATGTAAAAATTAGCTGGGCATAGTGGCATGTGCCTGTTTTTTCCAGCTACTTGGGAGGTCAAGGCAGGAGGATCACTTGAGGCCAGGAGTTTGAGACCAGCCTGGGCAACATAGCAAGACCCCATCTCTACAAAAAATAAAAAATGAATTAAAATTGTTTTTCTTTTTTTTTTTTTTTTTTTTTGTGAGATAGAGACTCGCTCTGTTGCCCAGGCTGGAGTGCGGTAGCATGATTTTGGCTCACTTGAATCTGCCTCCCAGGTTCAAGCAATTCTCATGCATCAGCCTCCCAAGAAGCTGGGATTACAGACCCACGTCACCATGCCTGGCTAATTTTTGTATTTTCAGTAGAGACAGGGCTTTGCCATGTTGGCCAGGCTGGTCTCAAACTCCTGGCCTCAAATGATCCACCTGCCTCGGCCTCCCAAAGTGCTGGGATTATGGGCATGAGCCACCGCACCCGGCCAAAAAAAAATTTTTTTTTTGAGACGAAGTCTCACTCTGTCACCCAGGCTGGAGTGCAATGGCGTGATCCCAGCTCAAGCGATTCTCCTGCCTCAGCCTCCCATGTAAATGGGATTACAGGTGCACACTACCACACCTGGCTGATTTTGTGTTTTGAGTAGAGATGGAGTTTTACCATATTGGCCAGGCTGGTCTCGAACTCCTGACCTCAGGTGATCCACCCGCCTCAGCCTCCCAAAATGTTAGGATTACAGGCATAAGCCACTGCGCCTGGCCCAAAATTTTTTTGTAAAGGCTTCATGGTGGAGGCTGCGGGGAACCCAGGCATCCCAGTTTTCTGTCTTTTATGGACAAGGCCTGGGGGAAACTTGCATCCTCTTTCCCAGTCCATCAACATCCCTCAGAGCTTCCTTTCCATTTGGCTCCCTTCCCTCTGCAGGGGCCAGGGCCGGAGTCGGAGTTGGAGGCATTCCTACTTTTGGCTTTCCCGGCTATGGTGTCGGAGTCGGAGGCATCCCCGGAGTTGGAGGTGTTCCCGGAGTCGGAGGTGTCCCAGGAGCTGGCATTTCCCGTGAGCCTTCGTCACATCTGGGGACATGGGTTGAGAAGAGATGGGGGCGGGTTTCTTGTCTGCTCAGCTCTGCAGGGGCAGTGGGGACTGTAGATCGGGCTTCAATGTGCTCAGGGAAGAGTTGGGGGAGAAGGGAGGTCGTCCATGCCTTACAGGGCAGAAGAGCTTTAAACACGGCTCGGAGGAGACCCAGGCCAGGCTTCTGAGGGTCTGTTTCTTTCTCATTTCCTTGTAGCTGAAGCTCAGGCAGCAGCTGCCGCCAAGGCTGCCAAGTACGGTAAGTGCCCCTGCCCTGCCTGACCCCAAGCCCTGCTCTCCTGCGGGGCTCAAGGACCAACCGCAGGGCAAACTGACTCCCAGGCCTCCGGGACTGAAATGGCCTGGACCAAGGTCACGAGGCCCCTGCCCCATCTTCCAAAGCCACACTCCACTCTTACTGTCCTTTTCAGATGCTTCCTGTTAGGACTGTTGGTGACCTGCTCATCACCCCACCCCCCACCCCCAGAACCGAAGGTGCCTGGCCAGGCTGGGTGGCTCACGCCTGTAATCCCAGCACTTTGGGAGGCCGAGGCAGGTGGATCCCTTGAGGCCAGGGGTTCGAGACCAGCCTGGCCAACATGGTGAAACCGTGTCTCTACTGAAAAATACAAAAATTAGCTGGGCATGGTGGCAGGCACCTATAGTCCCAGCTACTTGGGACGCTGAGGCAGGAGAATGACTTGAACCTGGGAGGTAGAGGCTGCAGTGAGCAGAGATTACACCATTGCACTCCAGCCTGGGTGACAGAGGGAGACTCCGACTCCAAAAATAAAAATAAATAAATAAAAAGAAACGAAGGTGCCGGGAAGCCGTTCTCTTCTTCCCCTGATTCTCCCACCCACCCGTGCTCCCCCAAGAAGTGAGCACTGGGAGGGGCAAGGCTGAAAGTTCTCCACTCCCCCAGGTGCTGCAGGAGCAGGAGTGCTGGGTGGGTTGGTGCCAGGTGCCGGAGGCATAGTCCCAGGTGTGCCGGGCGTGGGAGGAGTGCCAGGTGAGCTGTGTTCTCCAGCCCAGAGACCGGTTTAGTTTGTCTCACGGAAGGGTCCCTGGAGTTGACCAAGGTCGACTGCACCATTTTACAAACGGGAAGACTGAGCCTAGAGATGGGAAGCAGGGAGGGGTGCGAGAGACCACTCCCTCACCCCTTCTCTTCACACCTCTAGGAGTGGGGACCCCAGCAGCTGCAGCTGCTAAAGCAGCCGCCAAAGCCGCCCAGTTTGGTAAGTCCTCCTCACCCCTGCCATCGGCTCACGGAGCGCTGCCTTCTCATGTGCCCTGATCTGGGATCTGACCGCCCAGCTCCCTTTTCCTTTCCACCCCTCTTGGGCTGTCACGTTCTGGGGTGGGACCTCCTTAGAGCTTTTGGTCCACTGATGACCTCTAGGAGTGTGGGTGACGTTTCTGATTAGGGAAGCAGGGTGAGCAGTGTGAGCCTCCCTCTTCCTAAAGTCCCTGGTGCCTCCCAGGCTATGAGGGACCTGACCTCATGCTGAGCTCCAGCTCCCCTTGACGGACTCCAGTTCTCCCCCTTCTCCTTCTCTTTCTCCTTCTCCTTCTTGTACTCCTCCTCCTCCTCTTCCTTCTTCTTCCTTCTTCTCCTCCTCCTTCCCCTTCTCCCTCCTCCTCCTCCTTCTCGTTCTTCTCCTTCCTCTTCTTTTTCTTTCTTCTTCTTCTCCTGCTTCTTCTCCCTTCTTCTCCTTCTTCTTTCTTCTTCTTCTCCTTCTTCTTTCTTCTTCTCCTCCTCCTCCTTCTTCTCCTTCCTCTTCTTCTCCTTCTTCTTTCTTCTTCCTTCTTCTTCCTTCTTCTTCCTTCTTCTTCCTTCTTCCTCCTCCTCCTCCTCCTCCTTCTTCTTCTTCTTCTTCTTCTTCTTCTTCTTCTTCTTCTTCTTCTCCGGAAGGTAGATCTATTGATCCCACTAGCAGCAAGAGACACAGAGCAGGCTGTGGTTAAACACCGGAGGAAAGACAGACAACTCCCTATGGAGTTCTAGAGGGAAGGCTGTGGTGTGAAGCTAAAGGGAGAAAGATTTAGGTTAGGAATTTCTGTAGTGTCTCAGTTTGTGTAGTATGAGAAAGAATGTAAGAAATGAGTACTTCTTCTGATGTGAATGGTTGTGTAAGTTGGATTCCAGAATTTCTGCACTGTGGGGCGGTGCAGGTGTTGTACTTCAAACACTCCCAGGCGCTTCACTCCTGGCGCTGGCTTGAGGCTCCAAAGCCGGCTGTGTGGGGACATGGGGGTGCTGTGTGAAAAAAGGCATGCAAATAATAAATGAACTTGCAGACAGGGGGTATCAGAAGCAGCGTTATATGGATAAATGCACTGGAAAGCTTGGCCTCCGCCACGTAGCTTCAGCGTGGGAATCAGCGAGCTGAATGCCTGAAGCAGAGACTTGAAAGTGAGGCAGCGCCACCAGGGGAGGGTGTGAGGGAGGACCTGAGCAGCCTCGTCATGTGCTCGGGGAGAAGGCTGGCAGGCCACAGGAAGCAGCAGGCTGGCTGACTCAGGTGTAAGTGTGTAGGCACAGCTCTGCAGGTGTCTGTTTCACCGAGGGCAATGACTGCCAAATATGAGTGGCTGGGCAGCGTGGGGCCGACACCAACTTGATCTGGCAGGTGAGAAGTGGGGCATGGTTAAATCTCTGGCTCTTTGAATGGAATGGGTTTCTTCCACTTCCTCCCTTCGAAAGCGAACCCGGGCAATAAAGTGCATGTGGCTTGTGTGCAGGCAGATAGAAGGCACATGGCAGAGCTGAGCTGGGACGTGAAAGAAGATGGCCTGGGAGCTGCTCAGCTTCTGCCTTCGTACCTGCTTTTCACTTGTGTCTTCCAGTCATGGCTGGTCCTCAGGGTAATAAATGAGTAGCCACTTCTGGAGTTGGGAAGAAATGGTCACTGAGAGTGATCACAGAGCTGTGGGGAATTATAAGTGAAGGAGCTGGCTGATCGCTTAGTGCTTCTGAGAGAGATGCTTGGAAGTGAATAGCTTAGCTAGTACTGTAGGTCCCATTTAGTAGGAAGATATTGGGAGAGGCAGCAGTGGCAGGTCATGCCCAGGGAGCTGGGGACTGGCCTGGGGTATGAGTTGGTTCCATGTCAGGATCCATCCTGAGGACTTCTGGGCTGTATCAGCCTCAGAATGCTGTGCAGAACAGTGGGGCCGCCTGAGGCTGCTGTGGGCCTCTGGTCTGAGGCTCAGTTGAAGTCTGCTGGTAGAGAACGCTTCTGCGCGGGAGAGCGCTGTTAGTCGCAGTGGGGTAGGTGCTGGGGAGGGGTCTCAGCTGAGGCACTGCAACATCACTTTTGCGGTAGCCTCTGGCTGGTGGTGGCTGGATGGGGCAGGAGGTGGTGGGGAGTGCGTGTGGGGAGCCTCGCCTGGTAGGGAGTGGCCCAGTCGGAGATTTCAGCAGCGGAGAACAGATCTCATCGGCACTGGTGAGGTCTCGCCACAGACTGGCTTCACCTGCTCTCGCCAGCCTCTCAAGGTGATCCCCAGCAGCTGGGCAGATCAGGAAACAGGTTTTACCGTGGTTTAGTAGGATCGTAAATGGGCACTAACGTGCATAGGACGCCAGCCAAATGCCGGTAATGCCATTTATCGATCTATTCCTGATGACGAAATGGGGAATGCCTGGGGACCTGATGGCTTATCATGAGACGCCTTGTCAGATCTCTTCCACTCTGGGCCCCGATGCTTCTGTATTTGAATCTCAGTTTTTTTGTCTCATAATTCTAGGGCTGCGTGTCGCAGCCTGGGTGGTAGGTTTGAGGCCTGCCGCAGAGGCAGCTTGGGACTGTGGTCTCAGTTTCACCTCAGCTTGTGCGGAGTACAGCCGTGGGAATGTGTGGCAGCCAGATCTGTTCCTGGGCACTGAGTGGGGACGAGGTGAGGCTCACTCACCCAAGCAGGTGCTGCTCAGTGACAGAGGAATGCAGGTGTTGAGTGTCTGGCCTTTATGCAAGGTGGTGGCAGGAGGCTGCATGAGGAAGCTCATGGACGCAAAGTTCTGGGACGCCTGACCTGCAAATTGTAGTGTTTTATAGGGTAAACAGCCCGCAGATCCAAGTGCGCTTGGTAAACAGTAGAGACCACGGTTTCAGAAGCGAATGTAGGATGCAGATCGCAGCCGCTGCCTGCCGGGAAGCAAGGAAGACTTCGTCTTTTTAGCAAAGGGTGAGTCTTCATTGATACCGGGGCTGGGATGGTGGCCAATTTCAGCCAAACGTCTTCCATCAGTGATTTTTGTGGCTGCCTCCAAATGATGGACATAGTAAATACTACACTGGGTGATGCAGACTTTAGATAGCTGATCACAGCTGGGGCTGAATGGCCTCAGCCTCGTGATCCACCGCCTGGCTCTCCTGCAGCACAGGGAGCCTTCGGCAGCCTCGGCCGGCCAGCTGTCGGGGACCCTGCTCCTCTCTCTGGTGTAAGTGGAAGGTGAAGTAAAATGTAGTTGGTCTATAAATAGCAGTCCAAAGAGCCTCCACAGAGCAGTACTGGCCAAGGTTCGTAACTCTGTGGCCTTAGGCTGAGCTGTGGAGTGCAGCTGGTTTGAGTTTGCACTGGGCCTGGATGGCAGGTAGTCCAGCCACGCAACAAAAAAAAAAAAATACAAAGTGAGGAAGGAATTGCAGAACTCCGCCTACCGGCATGGTGGAAAACGCTGCCATTTGAAATAGAGCCGCCGCGATTTGAAGGTCGTCACCGCCTGGCATGCGGTAGTTCCGCCGCTGCGGACCAGGTCTGCAGCAAAGTCGCTGGAGTAATCGTAGGTACTTGAGGGCTTGTGAGGGCACAGTATTTCCATGTCTATGGGGGGCTGAGGGGAAGCTGGTGAGAGGCCAGTGTGGTGGTAGCCCAGGACTGTCTCATCCTCTCCTGGGCTCAGCCTTCTCTGTATTTCGGCTTCAGCCAGGAGAAGATGCCGCAGAAAGTTGCAAAGCTGCCAGGCCAGGAGCAGCTTGGGGTGGTACATGCCTCGGAAGCAAGGTGCTCTTCTCTAAAAGAATCTTCAACTCACTGTCCGGGTGGGGAATACAGTCGAACATGGAATAGGAGGGAGGGAGCTGGGGCCAACATGCAGGGAGGAGGCAGCTGGGCTGATCTCCCACGCCAGCTGCAGCCGGCTTTTTGCCTCCACTGATCTTTCAGTAAGGCTGTCACCTGGCTTAGGTGCTGGGCTTGGGAACTTGGTGAGCGTGGCATTGGTGGCGTTGGCGGCGCGGTGGCTTAGGGAGTGTCTACAGTATCGATGGCTGTCCCCTGAACTGCCTGGGTCAAGCCTGCAGGCCTGGGCGAGCCAACTCTGATGTGGGCCCTTCTGTAACAGGTGCGGTGGTTCTCAGCCTGGAGCCGGAGGAAGCCTGGGAAAGTGCTGGGTCAGTGCGGAGTTCCTGGGGCTGGAGGACAGAGGGCAGGAGTGGGCAGAGCCCTCTCCACGCACTGCACTCGGGGGAGGAAGGGCAGGGCCTGGCTTCAGTCGGGCAGAGGAAACTAGCCAGGCCCAAAGTGTGGCAGCCCAAGCTGTAATGGGGAGGAGGGGCCTGGCCTACTTCCGGGCCTCTTCTCCCAGGATCTTGGGGTAGAAAGAGACGGGTTGTGTGGCATGGCTGTCGGGCGCAGATGGGGACACTGAGGCTCAAAGAGGCGAGTCAGTGTGGAAGGGCTTGCGGCAAGCCCTGACAGAGCTAGGGGAGCCCGCCGGTGTCCTCTGGACTCCATCCGGCACTCGCTCTGCCGGGAATCCAAGCCCTTAGGAAGTGGGATTCAGGTTAAACAAAGACTGCCTGAGTCTACACAGCAGGAGGGATGATATCCGGCTGTTAGCCAGAGGTGGGCTGGCCTGCTTTATGCAAACAGGCCCCAGGAGACAGAGATAAATCCACACCCAAGAGCTCTGCAGATGACTTCCGAAACTGGTGGGAGGAGGGAGTTGTGGCCAATTCCCACGTCTGTCCCCGGGCCGCCCCTGTCGGGCAAGGGCTGTGGGTTTGAGGGCCTTGGAGCTGCCTCGGTGGGGAGGCCGAGGGAATCCCTGGAGGCTGAGCCACTGCTCAGGCAACCCTGCTTTCTTTTGGCCACAGGGTGTGGGGCTGCCTGTGGTATTCTTCTGTGGAGTGCTCCCAGGCACAGGTGAGGGTGAAGAGGGAAACAGGACTGTATGGGGAAGAAAGGCCAGGACGCAGTGGCTCATGCCTGTAATCCTGTTGCTTTGGGA